CTGCAGTCAAAAAATACCAGGCTGGGTAAAAGATGGGAGTACACTACAGTGCCTACGAGTCCCAGATTTAGGGTAAAAGTCGTAGGAAATGAGCCCTGTTAGGAGTTTCTGGTGAAAGATTAAGCCAAGATCATACCTAATGGTAGATAAACCCTGGTAGGAGTTTGTAATGACAAAGCAAAGATGGGGGTTCTCTCTCCAAGTATACTATTTTTTGCCATTGTTCGTTCAATTTTGACATTGCTAAGGCAGGTCAGCCAGTCCCAGTGCTCTCAGCAACTACCATAGATTCTTCCTCAAGTCAGTCCTTACAAGTCACAAATTGTGATCTCCTTCTCCCACCTTCCCCTAAATGTCATAATGGCACTTACATTTCTTCAGTTACTAATGTACTAATGTGGAAGAGGAAGGACGTCTTTTGCACCAGTAGATCAATAACATACGAATGCAAAAACTATCTTCTAGGGCTAAAATCCAACACAACAGACATAGTGTTGAAAGGAAAAAAAAATAAATTATGTATTTTTAAATATCAGATCTTCTAGTAAATTAGTAGATGACTCTAAAGTAGATGACATTAATTCTCATTAAAAAAACAAACAAAAAATAACAACAAACAAACAAAACCCTCTAAGAACTCTGTGCTAATGAATGCTGTGACCTATGTATTACTAATGCTGGAAAATGATAATAATATATGAGCAAGAAAATCCGTTAGTGGCAACATCATTTACCTACAAAATCAGAAATAGGGATAGAGGCAGGAAAATTCAGAGTGTAGATTCATAGGAATATCTGTGAGTTAGCACTTTGGTTATCCTACTGTGCTCAATATTTTTCCCAATTTCTGTGGAAAACAGTACTTGCCTTTTCACATAGTTCTTGATTTTTGTATCTCAAATGCAAATAATTGTCCTAAAACAGTCTCCCGAGGCCTTCCTTCCACCACTTCTGCAGCATTGTGGTCAGAAAGGCAGGCTCTCGGGTGCCGCAGTAGCTGCAGCCTTCGTCAACTTGCAGGTTAGCTAGCTCACATGGACCTTGACGTCCAGATATTGGCTGTGATTCACATATGACAGTCACAGGACTCCCCTTTCCTGTGACAACCACTCAAATGGATTTTCATAGGTCCTGGTAACTTTCTCAAAGTATAGTGGGATCTGCATATTCTCCTGAGGACAAGTCTTTTCTATCTTAAATAAAGTCAAAGCATGGTCATCGTAAAGAATGAACTGCAACTTCACATTTTAACTAAATATTTCTATCTGATCCCCTAGCAATACCATACCTTCAGTTCCCAGGATCCATGTGTTCTTGAGTTACTGTTTCTAGAAAAGGAAATAATGCAATCCATTTATTAGAATTCAGATATTAAAAGTGGAATTTCTTATCCAATAAGGATGACCTTTATGTTTTCTTTCTTTACTGAAACCATATGTAAAAATAATTGCTATGATTTTTAACAGAGCTTACCATCCACGTAAGGAAGAAATAAAACTTGAATGCGGCTATACCTCTGGGTGAAAAGGCTACATAAATACTTCATTTGTTTTTGCCATCATGGATTTTTAGTTTTATGCATTTATTAAGAAATTATTGAAAGTTAAACTGTACCTATAAATCAACAGATTTTTGGGTGCACCAAAAAAAGCATTCATTTTATAAGAGGATTCACTTTAGGACTGCAAGAATACTCACATACATATATACGTATTTCTGTACCCTTTTGATTATTCTATTTCAGTTTTTTAGACACTAATGATAATTACATCACTTTCACACTCCTTTGTCATTTGAAAAGAATGACACTTACCTACATATTTCTTTAGAGCCAAAATCTTTGATAATTTATTAACATAATTCACTTCAAAATAAATGTAAATAAAAAAACAAAATTAGATAGACGCTTTGAATGGCATAAAGCAAATAATTACCATCCTTTACAAACATCCCAAAATACTTGCTAACATGAAAAAGCTGGCCTGACGTTTTGGTATTTGTGAGACTGCTTGTGTTTTTCAATTTACTGCAATTCATATTTACTGATATTAAATTGAGGGGAAGCAGATACTTAATTCTAAAAAATGCCCAAGGTAAAGAGACTTGGAAACTTCTCAATGTCTTACTTTTATAACAGTCCAACCTAAGGTCCAATATATGGCATCTCTTTAGGCCAGGATACTGCCAAGTCAATGTCATTGACAACTCTATCTGAATCACTTAGGCAGCTTGTTGAAAGACGCACCCAAACCTGTAGAATCAGTGTACCTGTATCTTAAACAAACATCTGAGGTGATTGTCACGGACACCAAAGTTTCAGAACCACTGCTTTAGACAATACAGATTCCACCGTTTCAGGCTCAGAGCCCTATACAACGCTGGAACGCTGCACTTCACTGTCTGTGAGTGGCAAAGTTTATCACCACCTAGTGGTAAAATCTCTTATTTCTACTTTCCATTTGTTCATTAATATTGAGTAGGTTCTGAATTAAAAGAGAATAAAATTCAGAGAAGGCTAAAATTTTAGAGTAATAATTTCCCTGGTATTTTGCATTAACTTTTTATCTAGGATGGGATAAAAAATTTTAAAAGTAAACTTGCAAATAAAACCACACCATACCATATGAATAAAAACAGTATATATTCTAGAATCTTTCCCCAAATATATTCCTTGGACTACCAGTGCCCTGTTAGTAGTGTGCCTCTAAAAACACATGTCACAGTGCAAAGTATGGTCCTCTTTTGGAGATACAGGGATGATGTTCATTAGCATATTAAAGGCTCTGAGAAGTTGGTCAAAAAAACCTGTGGAACTAATAATAACTGAACATTTTCTAAATATATTTGACCATGAAAATTTCTTTCCTAAAGAATATCTACTGACTTTTCTCAGGACACTAGTATTTCAAGGAAGCTAATTTGGGACATGATGCTTTAGAAGCAGCAAATTTGCTGGCTGCTTTCAGCATCTGTAATCTACCATAAAAGAACTGACAATGAATTTACAAGAAAGTTTTGATTAGGCTTTATTGTAAATTTTATTATTTGAACCACATATTTGAATGAGAAATTTATTGACCTGTACTGTTTAGCATTTTTTTAAAGACATACATACCTAATAAAAACCCTATGTTAGCAATTTTAGTAATTGACATACGCACAGCATCTAATATCAATATGTCTTTATACCCAAAGTGCACTTGAGAAGTAAACATTTAGGTGAAGACATTAAACGCTAGATTATTAAATACTCTCTCTTAGGTTCTAGAATTTTCTCAATTTAAGAAAAATGTGACATTCTGGCTTTTAAAGTTGTAGGAATCAACTGCAAGAGACAGGAAAGTAGGCGTAAGGCTAAATTATTGAGAGGATTAAGATTTAAGGCACACCAAAGCCAAAGTAACCACTGTTCACTGAGCCATGCAACTGGGAGAGAAAACACAGCAGAAGGTTGCACTATAAAAGCAAAGAAGTGTTTCATAGGCAGACAGCTGTTACAGAAGTCTTTTTAGAATTTATAGGACTCAAGGAAAGACGAGGCGCTTCACTGAAACCACAACTGTTTGCTGGAACTGGCTACCTGACCTTGGATGCAGAATGGATAAATTGGGTTTATTTAATCTGAATAGAAAATTTGGAGGGCAGGAGGGTAGCATGATAGCTACCATGTGAAAGATTCAACTTCTATATGGCCCAGTGAATACTTAAGACAAATAGGAGAAAACTGTAGGGAATCAGATTTTATGTCCATTATGAGGATTAACCAAAGATGCAATGGACTCAGGAGGTAGGGAGCTCCCTACTTTTACATTATCTAAATTAACCGCCTGGCAGGAATACTTTGGGAGAAATTCAAGCATTACTTGAGTGGCAGAGCCAGATAACCTATAGGGCACAATTTAATTCCAATCTGTGAAAATGGAACTATGTGTGCAGTAAATGAGTCTGGGATGAATAAATCTATCTGTTGGTAATTAATCTTCAACTCTCCTGACTTAGGTTTTTCATTTCTAAAAACAGCATTCACTTTCTTTTTTAAATATGCCCTTTGGCTCACAGAAAGATACCTAGTTCAATTCTCATTCAGTAAGTCTTGCCTAGATGATAAGACTAGAAATTTTCTTATCTAAATTTACTAAAATTACTGATTCAAAAAAAGGATTTAATTTTTCAATGGAGAGATGTCCAAGTATGAAATACTCTATTATGCTCAGTGAATTTAATCTTTCACTATTTTTAATTTAACTCAGGATGTGAGAGGCATAATGAGGAGGTAATTAAGTGATGTTTTAACAACTACATTTATAATCTCTTTTTTCTAAGGCGCCAATTTCTTGACTTACATATACCTTTTTTGATACATATCATTCACCTCAAGAGCAGATAAAAATTTTTTCTTGGATTTTCAAAATACAAGCAGAGTAGGTTCCTAATTTTTAATCTTTTTTGCAATGACTATTCTTCCTATCATAGTCTGTTCTGAAAACTGCTTACGTCATACTTTTATTCTATTTATAAAGTGAAAATGTCCACCCTCCAAAGCCACTGACAATTATTCAAACTTTATTATCAATAATAACATAAAAAAATTTTTTTATCATCACTGCTCTATAATCTCAAAAGATCCTTACGAAATTACCAACAAATTTTGGTATAACTATAAAAATACAGTATAAGAATATCCCTAATGATATGTCTTTTGGCTCTTGTCTTAGAGTAAGTTAAGTAGCCAATCTGCATGTGTAGATTGAGCAGCAATTACCATATTTTATTGAATCTAAGATGCAACTGATTAAAGAAGCACCTTTATTTTATGTTCCACTAAGAAAGAAAAAAAGGTTGTCAATTACACTATGGTACAAAATTGATATCAAAATGTTTCCAGTTTTAGAAGTGTAAAAATGTGCATCTCAAAATCAATGAAATATGTCATTTAGTCAAATTCTAAACACTGTCTATTAAATTTTTCCATTCTCATCTTTCACATAAATAAGGCATGATTTAGTTAAGCAAAGAAAACTTTATTTCCGCTGCACATAACAACATATTGCTCTAAGAAACAACTATCATATCAGTTTTAGCATTAATGTGTGGATTCAAAAATACATGTCAACAATTCCTGTTCCCCAGACAAAACAATTTTGTGCACAGACTATCAGGTATATGAAAAAAAAAAGCTGTCAACTGTCCACAGGGAGTGCGTCCAGTCACATTTTCAGTCAGTCAGCTGAGGATTATGTCATTACTTAGTCTTTGTTCTGTAGAAAGAACACAACACAAGTATGAAAATTATCACCTGAAAGGAAAGAGCTGTTGTATATAGTACTCCTAAAATGTTAGGAATTGTTCCTTTATTTCAATATAACCAACGTTATCTGCTTACTTAATCACAGATACCCCCAAATAAGCAAAACCAAACTTACTCAGAAGGATGAGGCAAGCAGGTACTGAATTTCTGGAGGGAAAATGCTGTGAATTAATACAAAATCAGGATGCTCTGAAATACTAACATTTCTATTTTCCTCAAATAGAAAGAGAAACATATTTTGCACATCAGACCCACCTCAAATAGAATTCAATTACTTTCAAAGTTATATTTTTAGACCAGTTTCTTCTATTTTCTAGGTAGGGCTCACTTAATCCTACGCTTATTCTTCAGAGACAAAAGGAACGACTTCATGAGCAGTATTTGTATCCACTTGAAATTAAAGAAACAAATAAAAAAGTGCCCTCCCCCCCAAAATATTCAACTGCTGCAATCATGTAAAATTTGGGAAAGTTTTGAACCTTAAAATAGGATAATATATTTCTTTAATGTACTAACAAAGGAGGAGAATCTCATTATGGAGTCCACGGTAGACAGAAAATCCACAGAAAAAAATAAAATAAAAAAGCCGTGCTGCAACTAGAAGACATTCAAAACCAATACAGCTAATTATGTCCCACCATTTTTAACTAATCTGACTCTACTTTATCTTTGCTCTGAATATGTGTAACAATTCAATAAAGGGAAAAAGAATAGATTTATACTTTATGACTAGTCATGCTGAAGAATATGCACTTCTTCTAAGGTAGGGAATTGCACGAATGTACATCCCTTGTATGGGGGGAAAACGTGGTATTACAAAGCCTCATTCTCACAGCACCAGCTGGCCACAAGGTAGTGTTATATCACCAAACTTCTAGCTTCTGATCATTTGGATGAGATGACATCTCCAAGGTTTCACTGAAGTCACCAATGCAAGAGTTTTAGCTTACACTTACAAAGCATTTTTAAATTTTATATTATAAGAAACTTTGCTGACTCATGTTCTCTCAACAACCCTATGAAAAAATCTGGCCTCAGAAAGGTGAAGAGATCTGTCCAATCATAGTCAGTTAAGTGTCAGAGCTGGAATTTCAACCCAGATCTTCTGATTTTAAGTCTAATATTCTCTATACCATATAAATAATCATTAGGAAAGGTTCAATCACAGGAGTAATTTATGTATTTTTCCTACACTAAGAAGTTAGTATTATTGTCCTTTTTTAAGAATAAAGACTCTTTGACTAAAAGTAAGAATTGTTACCTATATGTTGAAATATTCACAGACATGAATAAACACATTTTTGCAGGCTATTTTAGAAGATAGCTTGTCTAAACAGAATTCAGTTCTTAACATTTTATTTGTAAACACTAAAAAACTTCTTTGTTATAAGAAAGACTTGCTAATTCTTTTCACCAGCAAATTTAGTATTTCTACATTGTATGGAGTAATGTGAGTAGATTTTGTAATTAAATCAAACATTTGAAAACATTTCTAAATTAGGATTATTCATAATGGGCCCAATGGGCACTTCCTATTGCTAGCTGCCTTCTAGAAAGGAGGAACCAATCACTTGACTTGCTCTGTTAGAGGAAGGGTCATCAGCAGTAAGGCTTGAGACAATTCATTCTGATACTGCTAGTTCTCATAATTGGTCAGAAAGAAAACCTAAAGTGAAAAGAAAATTGCTTTCAAGCAGTAACTTCAAACTGAATCTAAAAAGTGCTTGCCAACTGCTATCATTTGACCACCAGTGGATTTGGGAAGCTGGTGTGTATGGGAACCGAGAAACTCGGAATTCATTTCCAGAATAAAAAAGTGAAAGAGCTGAACATTTATGACTTTAAAGAATGTTTCCCCAAACCATGGAGATATGAATTGACTGCCATAGACAAGGAAATTTACGTTTAATTTCTAAAAACTAAAAGAAAAAGGAATTCATATGGCTATATGTATCATTATTTATAATAGACAAGAGTCTTTGGTAAACTGTCAGGGTTTTTTTTTAATACATAGATGCCCATGAGAATATTTTCTGAATGTGTAGTTTGAATGCACAAACTCACAAATATAAGTCCAGAAAAACACTAACATTTAGGTTCAGGAAGTCCAAAAAGATGTATTATTTGATACTGCTTTTTAGGCATTTCATTAGTGAGATGTCAAAACATTCTTTATAAAGACTGCTATAAATTACCTCAATTCATAACTCAAGACATTAATTCTTCAAGTTAAAAATCTTTAGAAGTATTTTAATTTTAAAGTTTATGTAAGCACATAGTAGAAAGTCCAATTCTTAATATCTAAGATATTCACAAACAAAAAATTACTAATTTTCTAAATTGAAATCCGATTTTATTTTATAGAAGGGCAAAAACATTCTCCCAGTAAACATCAAAAACATTTTTTTAAATTTAAAAAGTTTAAGTTTAAAAAAGATACTGTAAAATTAACCCCTGAGCTGTGGTTTTTATCAGCAAAGTTTTAAGCCACAGAGCTGTTAACTGACAACTTCTAAATCCCTAAAAAGAAACTCTATACATATTCCTCTTGCTATACTATTTAGCCAGTGTGTTTTAAAAGTCAGATTAAAAAGGGCTTACCTCAAGAATCAGTAAGTTCTTTGTCGTTTGTTAGATTCTTCTCTTGGGGAATCCGCCAGCATAACTTTAAGTCTGACTCCATTCAGGATCTTTCCATGTAAAGTGGTAATGGCATCATTAGCGCTTATTCTATCTGCATACTTGGCATACCCCACATTTTTTCCTGACACAAGGTAAACTTCGATCAGGTTACCGAAACGACTGAAACAAAGTAAAAAAGTCAACTGAAATTGATAAACACAGCTGCTCAGGTCTAAAAGTTGGGGTCCAGTCCTTTTTCACTCCTCTCCTCACATCCAATTTCCAGTTCATCTCAATCTTCCCTCTTAAACATCTCCTCTATTAGTCAATTTCTCTTCATCCTCACTCAGGTCTCTCCTCACTCAGACCATCATTCTCTCTTCCTTAGAGTCCTCTACTACCTTCTTCACTAGTTTCCCTGCGCCGCTGGGCTTGTCCCTGTCCAATCTATTCTCTACCCTGTCTTCTGAGTGATCTTTCTAAAATACAAATATGATCACTTCCTTCCTACAAATCCCTTTGGCAGCTCTTCGTGCCTCCAGGGTAAGGACAAACTCCTTAACGCAGGGCCTGCGGGCCTTTCTCGACAGGGTCCTTATCCTCTCCAGCTTCATCTTCCTTCAAGGTTTCTCAAATTCCATATTCTCATCACCTCCTTTCACATTCTCTCTGGCAGGAATAACCACCTACACTCCCAGCTTTCTTCCCCGGCTAAATTACTTTTATCCTTCAGGTCTCCACTATACTTTGCTATTTTCAAGTAAAAAAGTCTTTTATTATTCTAGATTCTAGAGGACAGGTCTATACAGATGTATCTTCTATCAAGAAACAAATGATTTGTCCATTCTATGCATGCAACTTTTCAAAACAATACTGCAGGATTTATGCCTTTAGAACAAAATAACAGGAAATTCTGGGTAGAGATTTAGGATGTGTAAATAATAAATAGGAGAAGGAAATCATAATATATTTTAAAAGGTGATATAAATAAGGACTTAATTAAACCACAGTACCAATCATCTCTGATAGCAGATAGGTATTGGATATAGGAAGTTTCACGATTCTGAGAGTGCTTAAATAACTGGTTTAAATAAATTGCATTATAAAACGTAACTTTGTGGAATAGAAATCTTACCAGAATATATCCTCTAATACATCTAAAGGTAAAGGATGAGGATTAAACACGATAAAAAGTCTTTCTTTCACAGGAGTTTCAGGAGGGGCTTTTTTTTTGCATGATGGAAGTACAACATCTGTCTGGATTTGAGGCATCTGTGATCCAGAACTTCCTCCAAATTGCTGTTGAAGAGTTAGGTACAAAATGAGAAAAAGAAAAACTGCACTTTAGGCATTTTTAAGGCAAGAGCTAAAGAGATGTGTATCATGGCACCTATGTGGTCTTTTACTATAGCTCTGAAAATTTGCTTACATAGGAAATAAACAAAGGCCACATTTATTTTATATGCTACTGATGTATTGTGAAGGTTAAATTCTTACCTACTTACCAGAAATTGCTGCTGACTTGGGTTATTCCACACCATTGATGCAAGCTGTGCAGCTACCATCTGCGTTGCCATTTTTCTAAGGAGACTGGAGATAAGAACTGATAATTTACATAAAACTAGAACTATTCAGTCTCTTAACAAGCAACTTGTTTCGTGTGACTTCCTCACTTGAGAGGTCAATTGTTTTCGATTTTTATTCTTTAAGTCACATCATGTACACCCAAAGCTCGGCTTTAGACACTCCTGGAATTGTACTTACTCTGTTGCATTACTCCCATCATCAATGAAGGAAACACCTATCCGATTCCCAGGGGGGTACTGAAATCCATGTAACTTGTATTTTGCATAAATAGCTGATGCTACATTAAAATACTGAACCACTCCATGACCTAAAACAAAGCAGAGAATATACAGGAATTAAAAAGAAAGCAGATTGAATACCGAAAGCCTGTGTTGCCACAAAAACGACACAAAATAGAAAAGGAAACAAAACTATCACACAAACAGTATCTGACATAAAAAGTGCCACTGGAGAAAAGCCATTTTAACAAAATACAGCATACTTAAAAATAATATAGACATTATTTTACCATAATTAGAATAAGGATCTCGTTGAACTTCACAATATTCCAATCCTGGTACTATATCAAAAATGCTGAAAAGCTGCTCTTCAGTGAAAGGAACTCTTGATACAACTGACAGGCGTTTGGAGATAGCTTCCTGGCCTCTGTTGTCATTCTTGTCAAAACTTGAAAATTCAGATTGTTGTTCTCCAACAATATAAAAAAAAAGTAAACCTTTAAATTTCTATATGCTCAAGAATTCATTTAACAATTTTAGGTACTAGAGAATAAAATGAACTGCCACTAAGTCCACTGCATTGAACAAAGGGACTGTACTTTGTAGGATGCTCTCAGTGATCAGCATTATCAGAGGGACCAATGACGAGAAAACAGACAATTCTCCCTGCTCCCCTGCCTCCAACACAGAAATATAAGAAGAAATGTGTAGTCTGACTTCACAGGAATACGTTTAGTATGCAAAACTGCAAAATATGGCATTTCACCTAAAAGAAAGTTTATGCCAAATAACATTCACAGGCCATACTTTCATCACTCATTTTCCCCTTTTTCTAGCGTCTACTTTTGTCACTCCTCTCCTTTCTCTAGCCCTAATTTTAAAGCAATAGTAGTTTAGGGATAAAATTTTAGGACTCATACTGAGGGGACATCTCTACATGTCTTTCGTACTTTTTGGTCAGCAGCATAGAGGCAGAAGCTCACCCAACAAAGTGGCAGAGACACAGTCTAACATCTAGATAATGCATAACTAACCACAGAAAACTATAATTGGAAATAAGTTAAACAAAATAACTGTTAAATATTAAGGACATGAGGAGTCATGACCAACTTCTTAAAACTCCAACTACATTAAGACTTATTCACTAAATGAGATTTACAGATTGTTGATTAAAGAATATTTAAAAAAAAATCAGATTGCATACAGTACTTCTACTATTAAGTAAAGGTAGCCCACTTACCAAATGGAAACATATTTACTCTAGGTTCATGTCCCAAAGTCTCCTGCCTCATGTTACTATAATAATCTTGTTCTGAGGATTCAGATGCTTTATTTTTAGGTTCAGCCAAGATTGCCCTAAAACCTGAAAAAAGAGAATCCATGAATTTCAAGCTTCATAGCAAATTTAACATACCTTCAAGTATACTTGATAGCTAGTGCTTGACTTAGTGTTATAAATATAATTGTATAAAACAAAATCTACACAATGGCCATCTCCACCAAAACTACTTCATTGATTTTTGGAAGATGGCAAAGAGTAAATGAGAAACAGCAAGAATCCCAAATTATGAGTCGATGTGACATGAAAGATTAGCAATTCTATGCTATCCTTTCCAATCTCCCCCTACCACAGATGACATCATCATTTGTTCTCCCAGGCTCCTCAACATCAAAATCCTATACGCTTCTCCACATTCAACCTGTCATCAAGATTCTTCCTTTGAAATACACTTAGAAGATGTTACCTTTCACTGGAACTTCCCTGCCTTTGTTTTTAAATTAGATCCTCTTCAATTAATTACAACAACCCTTCAACTGGTCTCTTTGCCTCTGAATCAAGGGTTTTAATTAGGGGCCCAAGGATGAGCTTCAAAAGGTGGGAAGGTTCCACAAACCCTCTAAAACTTTAAAGAAAATGCTTATGCATACGTGCATATGGGCATATTTCAAGGGAGAGGCTTCATAGCTTTCATCATATTATTTAGTGGCTCCAAAAGTATAAAACTAGCTACTTTGAATTCTTTCTCTGCAAATGAATCCATGATACTGTGGTTAGATCAATTGTCCTAAAAGAGTTTTTATTTTTTTCTCCTTTTAAAACAATTTACAAGGGATTCCTAACACAGACTAAACTTGAACTCTTCATAACCTCCCACATACGGTTCCAACGTACCTAGTCAACTTTGTCTTGTAATTTCTCAACAGGAATATCATGCTTCACTCAAACTGCTGCCTTCACAGTATTAAGCAAAGACATGTTTATTCATAGCTCTGTGCCTTAGCTAACACTGCTCTTACCTTCTGCCCTGCCTACTCTATACCACATACAAATCCCACCTCCAGATGCATTCCCACGCTCATCAGGAGCACTTGTGTTTCACCATTGATAGACCGTACCACACACTTCTGAACATCTTCTCATTTGGCAAATTTTTATTGAGTCTACTATAAATAGCAGTACCTTTGACAGAGATCTCAAATTTTTATTGAGGGCCTATTACTATACTAGGTACTTGGGTGACAAAAACAGACAAATAAGACATACTCCTTGCTTTCAAAGAGCCTTTAAAAAAATTCCTCTATTATTCTTTAACTATTTTTTACCTTTAATTATTTTTTACCTATTAGATCTTGGCTACCCAATATGAGTTCCTTAAATGCTAGGGCTGCTATATATTCCATTTATATCCCTCTACTTAACATACTGATGAGTATACCATAGGTACTAAATTAATCCTGGCTGACTGAGAAAGTCAGAAGGATCTGAGGAAATTTTGGTGTATAACTTAGAGTTATCTAAGAATTCTACTGATTAATAATAATTATTTCTAATATATAGATTTTTATAATATCCTGAAACCCACTAACTTAATTATTCCACATCTCATTTCTAACAGTCAATATAACTAGAAATATGACAACAAAGAATATTTTCCCTGGCTTCTTTAAAATTCTTATTCTTCATTATGGATACCAGCAACAGCAGAAGATCTAATTAATGTTATTCTAGCTGAAATTAACCCAATGTATATTTACTTACTTATATTAGCAAACTTTATAAATCCCATCCTTAACCTATGTTTATTAATATACTTAATTTTACTTAGGATTTAGGTCAAATATGAACAAATACTAGAGAAAACTTGAGTTTTTTTAATACAAAGAATATTAAAAAAAAACTGCAAGGGTAGGTCAACTTTTTAACACTTAAAATTCTAAATTACTTAAAAAACCCCCAAAATCTATAGAAATAATAACCAAAATATGGCCACAGCATTCTCACTTACTAAGTGAATGCAGTTGCTCATACTGCTCTTCAAGACAGTGCCTCAATAAAAGCTTAATCACAGCCCCCAAATAATTTTCATCCTAGGACTATATATATTTAAACTCCCACTGCTAAGATTAAATTAGCAGGTATGGTTTTTAGCAAAAACCAATATTAGATTCAGTTAATTAGAATAATTAGAATTTTTTAAAAAGTCTTTAACAATGTTAAATGAACACATCCTTACTTCGATCACAATTTTCTATTGCTTGGGCAGCTTGTGATGGTTTTAAGTATCGAACATAGCCCAAACCTTTACTTTCTCCGGTGACTTTATTCTTAATAATGCTGCAATACTCGATATCTCCATACACCTATGAGAGTTAAAAGAAATGATCTTAGAGGAGTCAAAATTAATAATTGAACAGATTATTTCAGAACTAATGTTTATTTGTGCTTCTTACTTGCAAAAAAGAAATCAGAATTAGAATTTACAGCCATTTTTAATAATGGAATCAAAATGTCACAAACTGATGAGGCACTAGAAAAATAAATATAATAATGATATAATCAAATAACATAACCAAAATAATGATAATTTTTATTTACTGAGATTTGCTTTACACATATTATCTTATTGTTACAATAATCCTTCAAGTATATATATATTATACTGCTTATTTCACAGACAAAGAAGCTGGGCCTTAGAGAAATCAAATAACTTGCCTAAGTCACGGAGGGACTTATTGAGTCTACTCAATTGAGTAGTCTACTTATTGAGTCTACTCAATAGAGTAGGAGTCAGAGGGAGTCACGGAGGGAGAGCAAGAATTTGTACATGGTCTGGAAAGCTCCAAATTCTTGCTCAGTAGTGGTTAAGAGCAGAGGCTCTGGAACTGAACCCTCTAGATTCAAATCTTGGCTCAGCCACTTATTAACTGGGCAGTTTAGTTATTCTCTGTGCCTTCTCTTTATCTGTTAAATGGGGCTATTAGCTGTACCGACCTCATAGGGTTGTTTTAAGGGTTAAATGAACTAATACACCTAAAATATTTACAAAGGGTCTGAGACATACTAAACACTCAGTAAACGTTAGCTATAATTATTTGTCTGCCTCTAAAAGGAGGAGAAATGATTCTTTTGAAGGAGAACCACTCAAAGTTATCTCTAAAACACATTGGTTCACTCAGAAAGTTTAATACTCTGTAATAAATATGTGGTAAACATTTACTTTTAATGTTGAAAGAAATATAGCACAAATTTTTAGTATTTATTTTATAAATTCCTCATGTAACCAATTAGCAACTTAATTACTATGCATTTAGATAAAAATGCCATATTTGTTCACTCAGAAACGATAAAAATTTATAAATATATGATAAAAACTTTTTCTTACTATTGGAGAAAGTACAGAATATGTATTTTTGGTATTATTTTTCAGGTATTTTATTCAACTCTCAATTGGGGTAGGAAAGAGGGAGCTTGAGAATTACTTTTTGTTACTTGTTTGTTTTCTTTCTTGCTCACTGCCCACCTGATTCACGGTATTGGGAAGATTAGTACAAAAAGGATAAAAAATTATAACTCAAACCAATTTAAAAATTGCTTTTCAGGGCCAGCCCTGTGGCATAGCGGTTAAATATGCACGCTCCGCCGCTGGTGGCCTGGGTTCGGATCCCGGGCGCGCACCGATGCACCGCTTGTCAGGCCATGCTGTGGTGGCGTCCCATATAAAGTGGAGGAAGATGGGCACAGATGTTAGCCCAGGGCCAATCTTCCTCAGCAAACAGAGAAGGATTGGCATAGATGTTAGCTCAGGGCTGACCTTCCTCACACACAAAAAAATGCTTTTCAATAATTTTTGTGAAAGTATATCACTGCATATAAAAGCCAATGGCTAATAAGAGATTTAAAATTGTCTCCAAATTTCATTGACTATAATCTTGTTACAGTTCAGAGCTGCAGTTAGTGTTTTTCTTTAAATATAACTCCCTCAGAAGCCTAATTTTGGGACAGAAACTCTATGAAGGACAAGCCTTTCTGTGAATAAGTATATCAACATGCCACAGGCTTGTAATAAATACTGGATAATACAGTTCACACACTCACGCCTGCCTGATTCATCTCTACATGAGAGGCAATAGAAAGGAGTAGTAAAAAGGTGCTTTGAAATTTTAAAGACCGAAGGCAGGCTCCGGATTCAGACAGCCCAGGGTTTAAATACTGGCTCCACCACCCATGAGGTTATGTGACCTTACTTAAAACTCTGAGCTTTATAGTTCATTTTTCTGAATCTGTATTTTCATTATATGGGGGAAAAAACACCACCGTTAATATTTTCCAGTTTTTATACATTCTTTAAAAAGTTAATTTATTCTAGGTTTAATATTTAAAAACTAGATTGAAAAAGATGACAAAAATAGTTATTTAATTCTCTACCACCAATCTAATGATCTAACTCAAAGAACACTTAAGATTTACTAACCCTACAATTGACTTAGGATTATAAATTGTCACAGATGCTAGCTGATTGGAAAACCTACGTACCTTAAATTTTTCCCGTAGATCTTCTTCCGTGTAGGACTTTGGTATCATAACAAATATTCTTGTAAGTTCTTCATCTTCAACATCTCGGTGACTTCCAGATGATCTGGACTGAGCGATGAAAACCTAAGAAACAAACAAAACCCAAAAAATAATGTGAAAAAAATCAGTCAATTCTTTCTCTATTTTTTAAGTATACTTACTTCATTATTAGTATGAGATTCATGTTAGGTTAAATGCAATGTAATAGGGTTGTATCAAAAAACATTTTTTAAAGCAATCTTTATTGCAGTGACTTTCTATATGAGTGTATACCAATTTCTGCATTGTTGTTTTTCCAAACGTATTTTTACTTTTGTATTTTTGTCCATGAAGAGCAACAGTCAGTGCACCGAAAAAGAATGTGTACTCTGCAGTTATCGGGTACAGTGTTCAACAAACGTCAATTATGTAGTTGATACCGTTATTAAAACATTACATATCTTTATTGATTTTTGTCTACTTCTTCTATCAGATACTAGGAGAGGAGTGTAAAAATCTGATTTTGAATTTATCTTTCTCCTTTTGGTTCCATCAATAATGCTTCATGTATCTTGAAGCTCTATTATTGGCTGCATAAACACTGTTACCTACTCTCTGACTTTTTGTTCTTATGAAATTACCCTATCTCTGTTAATACTCCTCGTGTTGAAGATCATTTTGTCTGACACACCAGATTTTTCTATCTTTTTACTTTCAACCACTTTGTATCTTTATACCTAAAGCGTGTCTCTTGTAAAGTGTTTAGTTTGGTCGTCTTTTTTTTTTTTAAATCCTGACAATCTCTTTTAATTGGAGTGTTTAATACATTTATGTTTAAAGTAATTATTGATACAGTTAGGTTTAAGTCTAGATGGTCACATTTTTAATTGTTTTCTAATATTAATCTTTTAAAAAAGGTAACATAATATTCTGGGTGATCTCAACGACCATTCAAATGACTTACGTGAGCAAGAAAATGCACAGGACGACTGTAGGCTCCTTTTCTACTATTAGTAATTTTTATTGAAACATCATCTGTGACATTAGATTATTACTTGGAATTTAATTTGCTTTGTAGTATTGCTTTTACTTAATTTGTAAAATTGTTTTGGTTTTATATTATTCCAGAAGAATGTTAAAATCTCTAACTAGGATTGTGGATTTGTTTATAGAACTATAAGCATACGAGTTTTAATGGCTAGTTTGATTTTTTTTTATAACTTGAAGAATTATAATAAAATTAACATAAATCATCACACAGGGCCCTTGAGGGTTTTCTTCTTCTTTAAACAGGGGCTGTATACCATTCAAGTATGAGAATACTTGGATCTACGGAATTCCAGAGTAGGAGGCAGCAACCAAAAGGACACAGAACTTATACCGCCATGGGATTTTAGAAATACTGAAAAAAAACGTTGTTATGTTTGCTTGGAAAACAGCTGGCATAGACATGTAGGACCTTGCTTACAAGATACAGCTGGAGACATAGCCCTAGAGAGAATCTACTTCTAGTTATTCCTTCAATAAACCCACACTCTCTGCCAAGCACTGTATGAGGTATTAGTAATAGAGTACTGAGTAACACAGAAATGGTCCACTAAAAAGTTAGTCTAGTGGATGTATTAGTAATGAACGGTCAATAGGGAAATACAAATAGACAGCCTTTAAACATATGGGGGAACACACTAGGGCACAAAAAAGTGTCTCAAGTAAGATGATTGCAGGTGCCATCAGATCACAAATCTCTAAATTTGAGAAGACTGGAGCGTTTCAAATTTCTGATAAAGGAGACAGTATCTAAGTAGAAAACATGTATAACAACTAACCATCTAATGGATGATTTCTCCTGGATTTTATGTTCACAGACCATGGGCTCTAAATAAGAGGCATTCTTGCAAAACTAAAAACCACGATTTTTCTCTTCCGTTTTCTAGGTTTACCCCTTTCCTCCAGATAACGTAGCTGGTCACAGAATGACTCTTGAAAAATCTTTTCTGGCTGTAGGCCTGGTCCTATAATTTTCTTATTTGTCTTATAGATCTCCTTTGGAACTTTGCAAAAACAAAGCACGTGAGAAAAACTGAAACTGAATTAATTTAACTGGAAATACTGAAAAAGACTACATTCCAGTGAAAGACAGCCCAAGCAGGAGCTGATGAAAAATGAACTTAGACTGTCTAATCAGGCACTGTAGTACAACAACTCTCTGGCTGAAACTGAGTGGAGAAAAATGTGAAAAACAGAATTTAAACTTTAATTATCTCTGGGAATAACTTAACTTCTCTGTGGCTAAAAGGGAGAGTACATTTCAGTGTTGGGACTTTTACTTCTCTTGTAGGAATGTAATCAAGGAAAAGGGAGTCTGTAAGTTTCAAATTTGGGGCATATCTTTGGATTGCCCACAAGATTTCTACGGTTATATTATACTCAAAGTATAAAAACTGTCTCTGCTAAGATCATAATTGGAAAGAGATGATAATTATCAATCTAGTGCAAGAGTCAGCAAACTATAGCTTCCTGTTTTTCTACAGCCTATGATCTAAGAATTATTTTTACATTTTTAAAGGGCTGTTAAAAACAATAAAAAAAATATGTGACAGACTGTATGTGGCTCAAAAAACCTAAAATATTTACTCTCTGGCCCTTTACAGAGAAGCATGCCAACCCCCGATCTAGTATACGCTGTGGCCTTACAATTTATTACATTGATGATGTGTTCTGACCCATTTCAGAGGGTTGGGGAGGTGAGAGGACAGGGAATGTCTACTGTATACTGTGTTGTTGGTATATTCCCAGGCTCCTTCTCTTTGGGGGGATGGTATAAGGAAGACCTCCAGAGACTGAAATATCTGAGTCTTGCATTTATATAAGTCCATATTAACAGTCTTCTCGGTTTTCTGTAGTAAATGGGAAAAAAATGAAAAAAAGTTGAGGGAAAAGAGAATTTTATGGAAAGCTCCAACAGAATTTCATCTACAGTAACTATTTCTACAGGACAGGTAAAGGGTACAGTTTAAGCAACTGCCAGATTCTCAGGATTGGGTTCTGAACTGAGTTCACAGCAAGTAAGAAATGACATCTTGGCTACTACTGACAAACAATAAGGATATATTGATAGCTTACCTTGTGGCAGGCAGTGTGCTAAAAGCACAGATTAAATCATTTAACCCTCAAAATCACCCTTCCTGCCACGTCAGTTATCTTAATTTTACACACAAGTGAAGGAAACTAAATAAAAATTCCGCCAGGGTGAACTAAGAGTATACAAAGAAGCATTTAATAATAATATAACTACATTACCATCACTTGGCTCTTCCTAAGGCAGTTGACTTTGGTCTGCTTTCAAAGAAAAGTGGCAGTAACAAAACATACTATTAATACCTTCACCAAGAGGCCTTATTGTAAAATGATTTTAAAAATCACACAAGTGTAATAAATATGCAATAGTAGTAGTTTTAATCACCCGCACTTAGATATTATATACATGCATACTTTTGTCTGGGACTAGGAAAATGCCCAACATCAGAGGGCCACAGTTGAACACTTTCATCAAGTTGTTAAAGCCCCACACCCGCCTGAGGAAAGCAGTCCTCTGTTTTTACACACGGTAACCCGGGGGTCTGAGACAGGGGGGTCAGAGAGGTCCTCAGAGTAGGCCAGGGCCAGAGTTGGGCCGTGGAATCCAGCGGTCCGGATTCATGGCACCGGGAGGAGGGGGAGGCCCAGCCACTGCAGCTCTGCCGCCCGAGTCGCCGCGGCTGCCCGGTGCCACCCGGGTCCCGCATCCCTCAAGCCTCGCACCCCGGCGCAGCCTTGCGGGCGGGGGTCCTGAGGAACGCTCTCTCCACGCCATCCTGCCCTCCTCCCGCCCCCGGACTGCCAGGTGCTGCCTAGTCCGCTCCCCTACTCCACCCTGACACAGCTTCGGGTGAAGGGGGGCCCGAGAGACCCAGCCCCCCGCCCCCGGCACCACCCCCGCGGGCACCCCGACCGGGCGCCCGCACCTTGATGGGCTTGGTGTCGTTGGGGCTGAGGCACTGGCCGTGCATCTCCTCCATGGCCCTGCAGGCCTGCGAGCTGCGAGCGAACTTGACAAAGGCGATGCCCTTGGACTCCTTCGTGTGCTTGTCCCGCACCACCCAGATGTCCTGGATCTCCCCGAAGGGCGAGAAGCGCTCCCTCAGCACCGACTCCGGCGTGTACTTGCTGATCACCAGGAAGATGCGGCTGTTGGGCGGCTCGTCCAGGCTGTCCACGCCCGGGCGGAAGCCTCCGCCGCTCGCGCAGCTGCCTGCTTCGTCCATGGCGCTCCACCCCGGCGCGGGAGCCGGGCCCGGGACCCCTTCGGTCCTCCTCGCTTCCGCCGTGCCGGCCACCGCAGCTCTCGCAGCTCCAGCCGTTGCGGGTCCGGCGCTCCGCGTCCGGAAGGCGGAAGAGCCTGGCGCCCGGCGCTGTCCGGCCGCGCAGAGTGCCGGCTGCCGGGGAGTGGCCTGCAGCGCCCCCCAGCGGCCCGGGGTAGTCTGACCCTGTTCCGGCCCCCAATCCTGCGGAGCCGAGGCCCAGACATAGGTGTGCAGTCCTCCCCGCCTCGGCCAGAATAGTCCCGTCTGGTGCACAGACTTTCCCAACGCGGGCCTTACTCCACCCCCAGAGCCCAAGGATTCTTCCCCCAAACCTGCCATTTTGGTCATATGCTGAAGAGAAGACCACCGTAGGACCATCGAGTTAAAACTATGCAGTTTTAGAGCTGAAAGGAATCTTTGAGATAATCCAATTCCAGCCTCATCAGGTAGAGGTAGGGAAATTGAGGCCCATGGAATAGCGAAAGTAAAAGAGAAACAACAGAGCCCAAACCAGAACCAACTCCGAATGCTGATTTACTCTACTCCCGAAAGCACCCCTGGGGATTTGAGGGCAGAAAGGGTGGACTGCTCAGCTGTGGAGCTAGGAGAAATTGTAAGGTGCAAGCAAAGCGGGAAATGCGTACTGACTTCCAAGGCTGCTTCTTCATGAGCCTTAGAGGAGAGGTCAGCAGAAAACTAGCAGAAATCCAGAAACAAGGCCTGGATTTAACAGTGGCATTGGAGTGAAGTGAAAGGAATAAACCAGAAAGTGGTCCAGGAGCAGAGGTCCTTAAATGTTCAAGTCCAGGCTGCTAAGACCTGTGTTGCTAGGAAATCAAACAGATAAATATGATTTATTGTGTGCCAACTATGTGCCAGGTTCTGTGCAAGGAGCTAGACATGTAGTGGGGAACAGGAAGGACGTGATCCCTACCCTCAGAGAGCTTTTATCCTATTGTGGGACTCTTACATGTAAATATATAATGCAAAGTAATGTCAGATTGTGTTAAAAGGTTTTGCCACTGAATTGTGTGAGCTTGGATAAGTTACTTCATTTGTTTACTTCAGTTTCCTCAACTGTAAAGTAGAAATAATGTTACCTACTAAATGGTGTACTTGTCAAGCTTTACTAATTAATTGGTCCATTCATTTAAGCAACAAATGTTTTTGACTGTTGACTATGTGTTGGGCACTGTACTATATTCAAGTGATATAGTATTAAACAAAATGGTCACTCTCCTTCCCTTATGAAGTTAATAGTTTGGGCTTGTCCAGTTAGGATTATGTGAGATAATATATATGGAGCTAACAGCTTAGAGATCAAATGAGATAATATGTGTGCAATGGCACAATAGAGATTAATTTTCTTGCTCTCTTTGACCATGGTGTCCACTCCCTGACTATTGATGTTGTGTAGACGTGTGATGGCAACTAAGAGTCAGGGATTCTGGGTTCTTATCCTGGCTTTAGCACAAGATTGTGACAATTTCTCCTTGCATTATATTCCACATCTGTAAAATAAGGGCTCTGTTTACCATGGAATTTAGCAAGTCAATGAAGAATTTTGTCTTAACTTTCCACTTCTCTTTATCTTATTCAGACCAATCAAGGTGAATGAAAACAATGTGGTAATGTAACAGTTTTATTGATTTGACCAAGTGCAAAGATTCTAGCAATACTGTTTGCACACTAGTGCCATCTAGTGGAAAATGTGTAATTTTCTTAAACTGCACTGACTGGGCAATTTCTATTCTTTGTAAAACAACATTACTGAATTGGTATCCTGAAGATTTTAGGCTGATATTCAGAGCAGTTACTTTTTTTTTCCTTAGAGAAGGGGTAAAAGATGCATAAAACAAAACCAAGAACATAAATATTGGGAAATGCTAGGAAAGCAAAATTTCTTTACCACTCAATCATGTGAAATACAGCATACTTGAGGAAAATAAGAAATTTACTTATAAATTACTAAAATACAGTAAATACATTTCTCTTCATATGACTTATCTATTTACTTTAAACAGCTTTATTAAGATATAATTCATATATCATCCAATTTATCCATTTAAAGTGTTTAATTAAATGATTTTTAGTATGTTCACAGAGTTGTGTAACCATTGCTACAATCAATTTTAGAACATTTTCATCACTCAGTAATGACAGATTTGTCATGTTTCAAGTCATATAATATCATATTTGAACATGAATCACATGTAACTAAAATAGCTGCAAATTCTGAGGTTTGAGAGTGATTATTAATTGGTCTTATATTAGAGAAAAGAGGTTCAGGGCATTAGCAGATTAAATTTTTTCAAGGCTTTAATACATGTAGGCTATAATGCACAATTATTAGAATGATAAACACATTTATTTCACATGAAATTCAGATTTGCCTTGAAATTTTTTCTCCCAAAATACTTATGAATTTCTTTTTAAAAAATAAGAAATGATATTGTGACTTAGTTTTGACGTACAAGGAGAAGATAGTAAATTCTTGTCGTTTTCCAAAATGTCTTGAATTATGATGTAGTTACAATGAGGCTCACTAGTTGTCGATATTAATCTTCATCCATTATATTTAATTAAGTAAAAATATTTTGCCTTATTTGCAAATTTTTAATAGATTTTACCACTGATATTTATTGGTTATCAATTAGTAACTTTCACATTGTTCTGTATGAATATGATCCAGAGTCTTCATTTTTCCCATCTGTAAGGCTACTGGCTACTGATAATGTATGCTAGCACCTAGCTTGGCCTGTGGTAGCCATTCAAGAAATGATAGTCTCCTTTTTCTTGAGTTTGCATATCTTTGTTTGAGTTTGAGAATAATATTTAATTCCTGATTTCTTTCCCCTGGTAGACCTGGTCATTTTGATTCAATTTGATGACATATATCTTTTAAATATGTAGATCACAGGACAAAACTCATAGGTATTACTCAGAATAGTTTCATTCAACCATCGGGTAAGTGTGGATATTTAAATTAAAATTAATGAAAATTAACTATAATTAAAGTAATTGAAAATTCAGTTAGTCACATTAGCGACATTTCAAATGCTCAAAAGCTACTTGCAGCTAGTAGACAGCCCTCATGAAGAACATTTCCAACGTGGCAGAAAGGTCTATTGGACAGCACTTTAGAGAACAAGAATATCGGGTAAACCTCCCACTTACGTAATTCACAGAATTTTCACTATCACTTTCCCAAGTACCTTGATTGTTGAGCAATTTAAAAAATTATCTTTATATTCCTAGTTCTCTGTCACAGCCTTATCACTCATGTCTCACTGAGTAATTATGTGACCAAAGGTAAGCTCCTTTCCCTTCCCATGTTTTCCTAAACACAGGTTCAACTTTCTCATCTGTCTGCCTTCAGTACCCTCGTCTTCGTGTAGCTTTCTCAGTCCTCCCCTCCATATCTCCCTCCCTTGCCCTTTCAGAACTCATTCTCTCTCTGTTTCTAGTCATACGCCATTCCGCTCTTTTGGCAGTTAGCAAGAAGCTTGCAACCTTGCTGTCAGTTCTTGTATTATTGTATTTTTATGTAGCTCATTTATAGTGATTTAATGTATTTAAATCTTGCTCCAGCTGCATTGTAACTCATAGAAAATTGAGGCTGCAGTTCAGTGTTTATATTTCCAAGTTGCTTGGCACAGTGCCTGGCTGATAGTAAGGTCTTGTTTTCTTCTTTTGTTGACGTGACTTGATTCTTGTGATCAAATGCTAATGGACCATTCATAAAACGTTGAGTTCCTACTTCAAGCAAGAACTGGTACACGCTGTAAACATACATAGATAATTTAACTCTTTGGTAAGGTAGCAGTTAAACAAATGGAACAAAGCCGGACTTCGGACTGCTTCGCTTGAAATACAATTCACTTTGTCACATTTAGACTCAGCCAGCGACAGCACAGCAAGCGCAAGGCTTTAAGCCCCTGCGAGAGTTGCGATCCCGCGGGATCTGGGGGCCAATCAGCAGCGCGGACGGAGCCCCGCCTGTAGTTGGCTGACGTCCACCGGAAGCACATGCCTGGTGGCCCTGCAGTGCGGGTGTTTGAGGCGCTGCTGCGGGTCAGCCAACCTGGAACTTGGGACGCAGGCTTTGCCTCGGCAGCGGCCCGGGTGACTGCCAAGGGTTCCAGGGGAGGTGGAGGGCGGAGCCGCTGGCCCAGTGGTAGGTGTGGGACCGGCTGGGAAGGAGTGGGCCAGGCGCTGGTTATGAGCCGATGCATTTTGGGCCTGGGTCCACCCAGAGGGGAGAATCCAACCGTCCTGCTCGTCAGAGGCTTGCCCTAGCCCCAGCCTGCTGGGACCCAGGTGTGCTTAAGTGCAGAAGACTTTTCTAGCGAGGGGCCTCCCCAGCCTTTCTGAATTCTGGGTGGGACTGATTTTGAGTAGAGCCTTCCACCCACAGTTGGCAGAAGTCAGCCTCGAAATGGAGGTGGTGGCATGGAGGGGCCCAGATTGGGAGTTTGGAAAGGTGGATTCTTGTTCCTTGTCGGAGATTCATTCACAGCTGGTTAAACGTGGGAAAGGCCGTAGACACCTGTATGTGTTGGCGGGTGGTTCATAGACGTGAAGTGATTTATCCAGGATCCCATCTTTGTGATGCATCTCACTTCAGTACTTTTTCCACTGCAACATGCAGAATCCCACTTAAAATCCCACTTACTCCTCTTTAAGCACTGTCACTCAGTTAAGCATGTGCGATGTGTCAGACCTAGTGTTCAACACAGGGTTGCGTGGATCACTCTTAAAAGGGAATTGTTAAAATTAAACTGCTGGGATTATACATTTAATATTGCTCTTCCTCTCACCTTTCACCATTTCTCTCCATTTCTCACCAGCTTGTGACTTTACACAAGCTGCTTAACCTCTGTGTGCCTCATTTACCTCATCTGTAAAAATAGAGATATTCATGGTATCTATCTCACTAGGCTGGTGTAGGATTAAATGCGTTAGTAATATATAAAGATCTTAGACTGTGCCTAACACATATTAACCATGTATAAGTGTTTGCTACTCTCACCCTGTCTATTTAGCATTAGAATTACTTCATTCTCAGATGAGTGATCATTCTCATACCGGATGTCAAATCTTTGCTTATTTTTAGTGAGATATTTCTTCTTAATTACTAAGTACCAGTAGAGTGCCAAATGATTATAGGACAAAATGAATTCTCTTGATATCCTTTCTGGTTTTCCTGCCTTCTCCCTTGCTGCCACTGTTGAATCTGTTGGTTTGAACGCACTTTGAACAGGGTCATAGGTACTTGCACAGCAGTGATTAAAGATGGCAGCAGTGATTTTTTTTTTTTTTTTTGCTGAGGAAGATTGGTGGGGAGCTAAGATCTGTTGCCAATCTTCCTCTTTTTGCTTGAGGAAGATTTGCCCTGAGCTAACATCTGTACCAGTCTTTCTCTGTTTTGTATGTGGGCCGCTGCCACAGCATGTGGTGCAGGTCCACACCCAGGAACTGAACCCCCGGCCGCCAAAGTGGAGTAAGCTGAACGTAACCACTAGGCCAGGGGCTGGCCCCAGCAGCAGTGAATGTTTTAAATTCTGATAAATACTGGTGGTTTGAACAATGATAATGGAAATTTTCTCCTAAGTGACTCGCCTGTAAAATCTGTACAAGTAAAGAAAGTTTTAGTTTTTTCTTTTTTTTTTTTGTAAGGAAGATCAGCCCTGAGCTAACATCCATACCAATCCTCCTCTTTTTGCAGAGGAAGACCGGCCCTGAGCTAACATCTATTGCCAATCCTCCTCCTTTTTTTCCCTTTTTCTCCCAAAGCCCCAGTAGATAGTTGTATGTCATAGTTGCACATCCTTCTAGTTGCTGTATGTGGGACGTGCCCTCAGCATGGCCGGAGAAGCGGTGCATTGGTGCGCGCCCGGGATCCGAACCCGGGCCGCCAGCAGCAGAGAGCGCACACTTAACCACTAAGCCACAGGGCCAGCCTCTAGTTTTTTCTTTTTTTAAAAAAAGTCTAGTTTCCTTAATTACCAGTAACATTTAATTGGTATAAAAATCAGTCCAATTTTTCTGCTTTATGTAAAAATTAGAACTAAAGATTCTTTAGTTAGTACTGAGGTGACGTTTTGTTTTTATATGATACAAACTGTATAGTTATAGCGAATGTATTTTGCTAAAAGGCTGTAATTGTTTTTTTTTGTGAGGAAAATCAGCCCTGAGCTAACATCTGCCAATCCTCCTCTTTTTGCTGAGGAAGACTGGCCCTGGGCTAACATCCGTGCCCATCTTCCTCCACTTTATATGGGACGCCACCACAGCATGGCTTGCCAAGCAGTGTGTCAGTGCGCGCCCGGGATACGAACCGGTGAACCCCGGGCCGCCGCAGCGGAGCGCGCGCACTTAACCGCTTGAGCCACCGGGCCAGCCCTGTAAATTTGTTTTTGTGACTAACGTTTTTCTCTCTGTGGCTCCTGTACAAAGGCTCAAGGAATTGTATATCTATATAGAGAATTGGTAGAACTTATATAGAGGTAGAAATTGAATGCATTGTTTTGAGTGAAGTTTGGAATTTTAAAGTAAGCTTCTCTTGGATAAAGTGAATTTTCTTACTCCACTTTTTATCGGACCTAAAACATTGATTAACAGCTTAGTTGTTTTGGATACTGCCCAAAGAAAACTTCTGTCTTACCTTTAGGTGCATTATTGACACTGCTTTGGGTTTCCACATAGATTTGAAGAAATTAGGAAGATACTAATTTCGCAGGTTACCGTATATGAAGTACTGGCCTCTCTGAGTGATAGCTGACTTTAGTTAAACAATACTGTGCTTTTCAGTATTGTCAGAATAACACCCACATTTTTTATTTCTCACTAGAGTTATAAAGGTAAAAATCTGCTTAGAACTATAGTGTCAAAGAATTAGGTATTTTCATTATTTCTATAATAGTAACTCTTAGGTTGAAATCTATCCCCACCGCCACCTCCCCAGCACCCATTCTTTTTTTTTTTTTGAAATTATTATTATTATTATTTTTTAATTTATTGATGTTTTAATGGTTTCTAACATTGTGAAATTTTGGGTTGTACATTTTTGTTTGTCCATCACCATATATATGACTCCCTTCACCCCTT